TTTTATATTTGTATTTATATGAAAAAAAAACGGGTAGCTCGACATATTTAGTGAAGGCAATGACTAGTTGAAACCCCCAATGAAATAGCGAACGATGTTGACAAAGCATTAACTGGTCAAGTATTCGGGCAAAACTTTCGACATGGAGTTGAACGAGATATATTGTCACAATGTAAGGCGTGCTTACTGCTATTGAGAGGGCCACCCACAGAATTCACACTGGACAGGGGGTTCTTTCACTGCTAGAATGAAATACACAAAAAACAAAACATCGAGTTAAAGCTTCTACCTCTCAAAATAATTACTATAAAATAAAATATAAGCACCTTCTATGATTTTCCCCTTGATGCGCGTATAAAATGTATTGCCAATATACATAGAACTATTCACACCGAACAACATACACAACTTGTGTGGATTACTTTAATGTATATAATAGACATGGCGTGGCGATATCCCTGTGTCTATTGCTAGTTTGACATATGACCACGTCTCGCATCCCTCTTCACTAGGATCTGTAATCTAATCAACAGTTCAACGTCCATGGCCGACCTTTCGGGATAAGCGCTGGACCATGAGTTAAAAAAAACATTTGTTTAGATACATAATTGTTCGTACCAATGTTTCTCTATATTATCTCAAGAACACACTTAAGATAATAATAATAATAATAATAAAAACGTGAGTGTCCAAAAAGTGACGTGGTGGTGGTGAGTCCACGTACGGTACTGATCACGCAATTCGCGAGATCGGATGAGCAGTCATCGAGAATTAAATTGTACAGTGGAATGCTAATTATGTAGAGCCAATGTTGCTGCTCCAATGCGTCAAACGAACGTCAAACAGGTGCGCATGCAACGACCACTTTACAAGTGACAGCCGTCAACTTCACCGCCTTAGTGCTTAGCGTCCACTTATGAATATCATATTGACACATCCATGCATCAACTCACAGACGTATTAACATAATCATGACATATTTGTTGAAGTCTCGATTGCAACGCTCATCCACACACCACTTGACTTTAAACGTTTTCACGCATTGTAGTCTCCAGGGGGACTATCGCTTTTTATGTTTAGTTTTATAATTTTGTTGTGTTTATTTATAATTTTGCCTATACTGATTGGCGTGTATCAAAGCAAATACTATAATGTTTTGGTGAGCATTGTATCTTGCCCTATAAATTCTACTACACAATTCTTAGTACGTGCACCACCAGCTGCTGCTGACGACTAACAAAAACCTCAGCCCACCACACATACACGGTGGTAGAATGCACAAAATGGCATATTTGACCCTATTTTGGAAGCCCGATATTGTAGATTATTATTCAGATAAACATGCAAGAACCCTAATTATAGACCTGGAAATCTAAGCTCTTACAAGGGCTCAACTATCATCCGCCAATCTGAGATCCAAATTCTTACGAGGGAGCATACAGAACAGAAAGGATCGTCATCCCGCCAATCTGAAGTCTGAATTCTTGCGAGGGAACATACAAAACAGAAAGGATCATCATCGCGCCAATCTCAGGAAGTCTGAATTCTTACGAGGGAACATACAGAACAGAAAGGATCATTATCTTGCCAATCTGAGGCCCGAATTCATCATCAGCCGAGCTGAAGTCCGAATTGTTACGAGGGCTCTTACAGAACAGAAATGATACTCACCCCGTCTTTCTAAAGTCAGAAGATGAGGTTCCTATTGTGTTCATGAAAATACTCTTCGTACACCCGGGATGTGTTGCTGGGTGACGGCGTTGTATTAAAAATGAAGCTCTTTTCGCTTCACGACCGTAAAATGGACTGTTGTGCAGAATGTAAACTAAATGTAAGTAGATAATCCAGAGCTTACAATAATGAGCCAATGATCCTACCTGGATCAGCATAACAAATTATATTGCCAGAAACTGCCATTAGAGGTGTGTGTCAGATAGTCTGTGTGCTGACATTTTACTTCAGGGTGGATGCACCCTCTGGAATGGTGAACCCGGTCGAAACAGTGAAGATAAACCACGTGAGCGACATTTAACAAGGTCAACGTCGTTGTACGCAGAGTTTCATTCCTATACCAGCGGTATAATTCGGTAACAAAATTTTTCAATCCTACTCATACAAAAAATAATATGAATACGAAGCGAATGACAGCTCCATATTGAATACACGTCACCCATATGATTGTTTTTAAAATGTGGTCATTTTTTGACAGCCAGATCGCTAAACTTGTTCATGGCCAGATGTAGTACGATAACGCCAATGGGTACAGTTCCTCTGTTACATAGCAACCGTGTTCCCTCCATCCATTCTAGCGTCAGTGTTGAGGCACATTTCTCACATCTGAAGTGTTGTGGACCTCGTGATACCTGATTCATTATAGCAACGGCAATCGTATTAATGTTCATATAGTCAGCAGTCAGTCAATAATGGGGACATGGGGAGCGATAACAAACATAAAACTATGTCGAGGGTGAACGGACCAAACAGCTTCACATAGGTGAACCTTTGTATGAGTTGACGTGAGTTATTGAGTCTTCGTCGTATAGTGATTCAGGCACAGATCAGATAGTCACACTTGATATGAATGTTGCGGGCCAATAACTCAGATATAGCACCCATGGTGAAATATGTGGCTACCAAACACAACGTGCATACACCGGAGCTACCAACCCGTCTTTAATATCCTCTTCGTTTTCCGTTGATACAGTCTATATGAACCCACTCCACGTCAGTGTCGGTTTTTGTGTCTAATCATTACCCAATATTAAACGCTCATAACATACATTTAATTGCCCCTCAACGCCTGTTCGCATGGATACCAGGTAACTGGCATGATTCGACACGTTTTACAGGAGAGATATAGTAGGAGTGACCATCAATCTGTGCGATATGCACTTCGAGTTGCAGTTATCACGCCTTTATTTAAGTTCAGCGAGTCACCATGCGTACTGTAGCCAGCATAGTGGGCAGCAACCACGTACCAGGTAGAACTGAATAATACTCTATTTTTTATCTCTCGGCGAGAATTATTGTTGTGTTTCGGTGGGGTTAAGAAATTATCTAATCCGTAATACCTGTATCCTAACTATTTCAACGCCATTATCTCACATATTCTCCGCTGCGTAGTGTCGCTATAGTTTTCGGTTCTATGATTCGCCATCGTCTTTCTGTTGACAATGTAAAAGTCGCATTTATATTATGACTGAAGCTTGAAGACTGAAAAAAACTGACCGGCACATGCATTTTCTTTTCTCAACAAAAACTTTTCAACTCAATGGATTTCCGCCCTGACGTATACGACACTATGTCTAATCGAACTACAATTTAGGTTTAACTGAAAAACTGTGTATTTATGACATCTTTGCGTGTCAACCGACCTGGAGCCCGGTCAGAGTTCACTGCATAAGCGAAATATTTGTTCATTTCATTTTCGCATTTGTAATATAGTCCTAACTGTCGACCTTATCACGACCAGTCCAGACAACTGACTGCTATATACTAAGTATGCTGTTAACATTTTAAAATTTACTTCCTCGATTAACTGACTGTGTTTATCTATTAGGATAAACATTAGTACAGTTCGAAATTCCATTGCATCGCCACAAGAACTTGGAGTGTACTGGAATAAAAAATGAGTGCTGTGTTCACGTAAACACGGTGTTTACGAATACTATGCTAGAGTCCATGCAGTTTTAAAGGAGAACAAAGAAACGATTGACTTTGATCAAACTTTTGTATCTCCAAGCGACGACGAAAAGATTATTTGGAAATCATATATAATCTGGATTTATCGATTTTCGTTCATTTTAACTCTTTTGGCTATTGACAATATAGACTGATTTGTGGTGTTTTTCGACTTAATCATTGACGTCGTAAAATAAATAACAAACTAAAGCGAGGTTATCTGATTCGCGTTCAAATCGCCATAAATTTACATCGCTGTTGCTTAACTACCCACAGTCTATTAATGCTAGCTACCTAAACCTCAAGGGGTCAGTTTCTGCCGGCATAGCAATCCCGTACTTCTAAATCGTACGGTAAGTTGTATACTCGGATCACCACATACAAAATCATACGATTGTCGCGTTGTTTTTTCGTGTGTTGGTTCTTTTAATTTAATTTTGTTTATTCAGTGTTAACTAACTTTTGCAAGTTGTCTCAGGATATCCACCATATATAATTCGTGGTGTATTCGTTATATTGTTGTTATTATTATTGATATGCCTTATTTCGAAGTGAATTCAGCCACAAAGCCCACATCCTACGCCACATGAACGACTGCAGTTTAGAACAATATGATTACACTGGTGGAAGTTTTTACTCTTATCAACCTGGTGTGTTAATGGGACAATTAATCCGACGTCCCCTTAGTTGAATGCGCCGCGTAATAAGGATGCTAGCTTGGAAGCGACAACTAATGTCAGTCGTTATCACATTACATATCTCCATTTAGATTAACTTTAGTAAGGTGGGCACCAAATTTCTGATCAAGACATTCTCTAGATACAGTTAGCAGGATAGCAACACCGTGATTCACACTGACTTAAATTCATTGACATGAGGTGTTACCGTTTCGTGTTACTAGCAGTCTGAATGGTGTGCGGATATCCGTGGTCTTAAAAAATGCAAAAATGCATGTTCGTGTTAATAGTGATTGGTTATTTTGTTTGGTTGTATGTATGTATTTTTGCGCGAAAAAAAAATAGCAAAGCATTAATGGCACAGTGGAAATGGCCTAGTCGGTTATAGTGGCACACTGTCTTGTTGCAAGAATTGAATAGCATCTATAATAAATTTAACAAGCGTGGTTCGACACCACCCCGGATTTTTTGGCCACTTGTATTCATGTGCCCGTGTTTTTTATTGGACGATATGTAATTGTTACTGCGTAGGTCATTTCCACTGTGCAATTATTTTTCCAAATTCGAGCAAGTGCGGCTTTTGTTGTGAAAAAACGCCAATAAGAAACACGCCCGTGGCCTGGCGGCTGTATTTGAACGCTTGATACCTCTTAGTGAAAAGACGCGTTGCACAATATTTATTTAAAAAGAAAACAAAACAAAAAACAGTTTAATGTTTTAGTCATACATCGGCACTATCCACCTTTCAACGTTTAAAATACTAAAACCAATGTTACACTCACGTAATACTTTGTATCTACTACCGGTACCAGTGAAGTTTTACCGACGATTTGAGGACGGATTATAGACAACGACGCGTTTTATTCTTTTATCAGCACACGGCCAAGCCCTAGACTTTATGTACACACGATCATTGTAATCCGTAGCCATGAATAATATGTATGTTTATCAGTTGTCTTAAGCGTGAAGCTAATCTCACGTTAGCTTGGTGGTGTTATAATTGATCTAGTTTAGGTGTTGTGATTCAGCTTCATTGATTGGGTGTCGCTTTGATCATCATTCCCACGTGCCAACCGTTGTTGTACGTGTATTACCACTCAATACTGCTTTGCATTTTGTATGGTTGCATTGGCTTGTTGAATGAATTACCGGGCAGTCTGCTCGGAATTCGGCCAGTCACAGTTTAAAAACTATCAATACACCAACCTTCCCGTGTATCTATGCACCGATGAACGATTGTCTTTGGCGAAGGCCGTGTTTAGTACGTAGACATTTCACGGAGTTTACATTTCCCGTGTAGCGGCAGGTGTATGATTTAGTAAATCGTCGTTATCAACCCTTGTTTGACGTTCCACGCACTCCTGGCACCGACCCCCATTTACTAGTCGTTGCCGTTTAGTACGTATTTTTTATATTGTAGATGTTTTATTATTATAATTTTCACTGTTGTTTTTGATTTGTTCTCGTTGTTATCATTATTATTGATGCTATTGCTGTAGTTTTCTTGCTATGTTAAGTTTCTTGTAATACTGTGAGACAAAACAGTTGGTGCGATAAATACGGAAATCGGACGAATTTCGGCAAAGCGACGAATTGCAATTATTTCAATGTATAGTAATAACAAATGGAAACGTGGATTTTGGTGGTTTTAGAAGCCGATTCTTGATACTGATACATTATTTTGTAGATACTCATCGTGTAGTTATCAATATCAATAATGAATGGTCTGGTGTTTGGAGTTATAGAAAGTGTCCTGTTTTTTACGACGGTACATGATGAAATATAAAATACTGGTACTTGGTCATAGACTAACTGATGATAAACAAAATATCCTATCATGTGTATGTAATATGGTACTTTTTAATCGGATACTATTATTATATAAAATAACTAAGTTTATAGCCCTTTTCTTTTTTCAGAGATGAAAGAAAACTTAGACAAGGAGAACGAGGACAAAAACATGGTCGGCACTAAGCTGTCGCCAGAAGACCAAAGCAAAAAACAATCACAGATAGCATCAACATTAAAATGGTTAGTACAATTACTCTACACGTCTGTAGTGCGTTATCCAAGTCCAATGGTTCGTGGTGTAAGTCTGTATAGAGCCTACTGGGTGGTGTTATACGCGTGACGTCATTCATTCAGACAATTTAGAGACGCATCTCTTCTACACACCAGAATTTCAACATCGTTTCTGAATCATCTGTAATGCTACAAACAATGATGTACACACGTGTTATTCACTAACTTTAAAACAAAATTATATATTTATTTATTCTAATTTCTGTCTATAATACACCCGCCTAAATACGTCCATCAGCTTTGAAATAAAACACGACTCATCACTTCACATGTTATTTTTGAAACTCACACGTAAATGTGTGAATGTATTTAATTATCTATAGCATGGTATGTTTAGACATTTATTAGACTAAAATTAATTTACAATAATTTAACACAAATATATACATTAGTCCATTGTTAGCCAAATGTCTCAAGTTAATCTATTTTTGACTAGCTACAATGACTATGAATGTGCGTCCAATAAACTTTGATAGTGATATCTCCACTTTATCTGAAGTCAAGGCACATGTTAAAGGCGTGCGTGGTCGTGTTTATAGCATTTGTGTTTGGGAATAATGATCTCTTAATGGGGGTTCATGCAAAGATCTAATCACCGGTGTTAAAAGTAATGTTTCTTTAAAAAGGTGGAAGCCAACATATGTACATGATTGCTAAAAACTGATAAGTTATGACTGTTGTGTCAAGTAACTTTTGTTGTTACGAGTAGTTTAGGAAAAGACAGAGAAATGTAGTTTTTGTGTATTTCAGTCTAACATTTACGTACATGTTAACAGTCTGAAACTCAGAAATACACTGCCTAGATTTACGACCAACTATAACAAAACGGGGGTAAATATAATAAAACAAAAAAGAAATGGTCTATTTGACATATTTCATTTGGTATTGTGTACATTTTAACACCTACAAGTGTACCGACTATAGACATAAACTTAAATCATTTTTTTTACAAACATGCTATATGATGTTATTACTTTTTTATAATCTGTAGGTTGGCTGAGAATTATGAACGAGCAGAAGGGGTCTGTCTTCCGCGATGTGTTCTTTATACTCACTATCTGGATTTTTGTAAGAAGAACAAATTCAGCCCTTCCGGTGCTGCGACATTCGGCAAGGTGAGATTGTCCGCCATTTTGTCTGCTTGTATTGAGCATTTTTACGGCGGGAGTATACGTACATTGACAAGGTGGTGTTATTTTCCGAACATGTATTTCGAAAATTTATCACCAATTTGTCTGAATGTGAATACCCCAGTAGACGCAGATGTGAGTAGAATACAATTTGCAATTGCTTGCCCTCAAGATGAGTCTGACGGAGAATGCCCCAAAACTTGGAGTAGACAGACATGTGATTAGAGTACTTTGGGAGCAACTGTTTTTTTTGTTTGTTACGAAGGCAGTCGATTGGGGCGAAAGAATCATGAATGGAAGTTGTCGATAACTGGCCATAGTACTAATTTAACTGTGTACTACTATACGTATATAATATACTACAAAATGCGTACAATGACATGACTTATAAAGGCACAGGTTTGTAAATTCAGTGGATCCAAATCTAGCGTGCATCAAACAAAAATTAGACTAAATTTCTTTTCAATTTATAATTTCTACGACAACACCTTAATATGACACGATGTCAATGTTGCTATGCGTTGGGTAAACACTTGACTAACCGACAGTCATGCGACTGTTTAGGGGTCAGAATTACAATGGAGGACGGTTCCTGAACCAGTATATGCATTAGGACGACGGCGATATGTACCTGGTTTTTACAACCATGCTGCCAAGTAATGCAGTTATTTTTTGCATTTGTGATAACCAGTTATATCTGGATCATTGTACAGCTTGCCACGGATTCCTCGACAGTCGCTCACAAAATATTTTATCGACGAGAGTTTTCTTTACGAGTTCCATTATTGCTTTGTCAACACAGTGTCAGTGACAAAAACAGTCTACGGATTAGTGTTCAGTTATGAAAGCATTATAAAGGCTCAATATTTCCCTTTGTACGTAATAATGTGGTTATGATTTTTCGACTAAAGTTTTGGTGGACTATTTTACACAGTTTATGAAAAATATTAAGAAAGTTATGCAGATTTATTTTGTGATTTGTGAATAATTTTAACTTTTGTGTTCGCTATGATTAAACATTTTTATTGAAGCGTCGCGATTGTTATCCCTGTTTCTTGTAGCATTTTCCCCATATTTTTGTGAGATTCTGCAACACACCAAATTCCCATAAAAGAGGTATTATTATTATATTTACCGCCATCACTCGGGCTGGGTGTCATAGTGACGCTACGGTAGCTAGAATTCTTTGGTTGTATCACCACAGTAACGAACTTTTCTCCCTCTCAAGGCGATCCAACCTTAAAGTTGAGACGAATTTATCATACTCGGATGCGGTCGTTTCAAGTTAAATACCGATATATACGGATTACTGATATGGTCTCTTCGTAGAATTGTCATTATATTATTCCCAGTGACTATTCAACCTATATGTCAGTGAACTCATGTACACTATGTCCCTGTAACAAACAAACAAAGTAATTAACACTCATTAAAATTGATAACAATCTTACAGTTATCACGAACTATTCTAATTGGTAATCAAAGTGCCGAGTCCGTCGTGTTCCATGTGATTTCCGTGCAACGCATACAGCGCGTTTAAAATCTGTTGTTTCGAACGCATTGCTGAACGAATGTGACCGCTTATTCTCGTTTTACCAATTACTTTAGTCGGTATTTATAGTTGGTAAATGTCAGCACTATAATTCAACAACAGTAAATTATGACCATCCGATAACAAGTCCCTGCCCCACCGAAAATTCGATGAAATCTACTAAACCGAACAACCTCCAAACATCTACCAGGAAGCATTGGAGTTTGATATACATTGTAATGTCGAGCTGTGACGTGCATATCAGACATACAAACTGTCAGTTAATGGCAAAAGTCGGAAAGTTGATATAGTAGAATATTTGTACGTCTATTTTTGGTTTGTGCATTGTTAACTTTGTTAAATGTTGTTTTTCAAAATTTAATTTAGAAAGCCATAACAGCAAAGAATGTTTTCATCATTTTTTTCAGCTACATTTATTAGAGTAGAGAGCTTTTAAATTAAGTGAAATATACACAATGAATAAATTCACAATATCCAAAATAGATACACACGTGTTGTGGGTACCAGTGTAAATGTGACACAGTTTTATTATTTTGAATCGTATTGAGGTGTTTTTATTGAACAAAATGAGGTTGACGGCACACCCTTCCTTTGACGAGACAGTTTGACGATGTAAAATTTTCATAATATTGTGTCATACCATACCACACTGTCCCATGTACTGTAGAATCTGTTTTATTGACACCGCAAAGACAAATTATTATTTCTTTTTCTTTTTTCTGCTCCTATGGCAACTTGAATTAAAGCACAAAAAGATGAAAACCCGCAAAATGGTGGACATGTCCTCACGGTTGCAACTCTTCTTCCTTTCTTAGTTACCAGATCAAATGTTATTCGTTTCGATGTACTAGGTCGATGTGGCCAAAAGTGACGTCGAACAGTGAATCACATTCACTACCATGATATAAACAATAGTAATATGTTGTCGTGTGTGTATTACATATAGAGGGCAGTGCTGCTAAGTTACTGATGATTCAAACCAATGTGAATCCGATTGTACAAATTGTTTTTTGCGCATTTAACATGTCTTACATGACAGCAATATAGCCACTTTTACTCCATTAAAAAAAACGATATTTGGTTCTGTCAGGTGCTTTAATGTGTGGAGATAATGTTCAACTTCGCAAACTCCCAAAAATGTTGTTTTCATGACCATTACAGGAGGCGGAAACCGTTATAGTTACTGGCAATTTAGTTCGATACACAACATTGACTTTGAACGTCCCTCACAGACAAACACGTGAAAGGTTAGAAAAACTAACAAAAATATACATAGTTTTCTAAATTTAAGGAAGTCAACAAACTGATCCATCATGGACGATTAAAATGGCCACGCAGAAAACATTGATCTAACTGGGCGTCGCAGGCCTTCATGTCCCCTGGATCGCACCGTGGGTTATTTTTTGTACATCTATTAATTTCTCGTTTCTTGTGGCCTTGTTGTATAGTTTAGATTGTGTTATTTGTACGATTATTGCATTTTCAAAGTATGTACTGCCGAGGCATACGAGTCTGTCAACAATATGGCGGCGATTAGTTGTCGAGGTAACATCTCCTAGGGCAACCATATTTGATCAGGAATGTAAACACGATATTGAAATGTTTAGAGAATTAATAAAAACACACCAGAGTGTAAGATATGTACTACTTCAACACCCTACACTTCATTACGTTAGTTTTGGTATGAATTGTGCGTCCAATGTTAATGACGTCGGCAACTTCAGGGGGAACGTTTTCAATAACAATGATATGCTCTGCTTATCTCTAGGTCATACGGCAACGATTTCCCAAGCTGACTACTCGGAGACTGGGAACACGTGGACAGTCGAAGTGAGTACAATAAAACATCATCAAATGAAATAAATTGACTATCATTTATATATCAAGCGACATATGCTCAACATCAATGCGAATCGATTGTTTCCATGGTAACCGTTGTGTTGTTTCTAATAGATACCATTACTATGGCATTGGTATTAAAGAGACGTCCATCTATTACCACTCGGTGTATTCCGGTCGGGGACTGACACGGTAGGTTCAAACGTTGGGGGCGCAGGACGTTTTTGTGTGTGTGTTTATTTTACTAACACATTATTATCTTTTATTAATCACCAATATATTTCATCCGGTCATGTTTTCCCGCGTAATTGCAAGCGCTTGTTATTTGTGACACATAGATCTGAGTGTTATGTATACTATCCTGTCGTAGTCACGTTTCAATTACCGCCAATAGTCGGTCACATTGAGCATCACTACAACAAACTAAGTGCGAATTAAAAACTTGAACTTGAGCGTATCTCCGTGCGTTTAAATAAATATTCAGACCAATTTTGCCGACTATAAATTCAGCAAGTGGCTATGAAAAATGTAACAGTTACAAAACTTATTGTTTCTCTATAATTAAGTGTTGTCTACTGGTAACGCGGCTTGTGTAATTGCCTGCGCGAGAGACAAGTTACTTTACGCCGACTTGATTAAATTAAAACTGTGCAGGCGAGCTTTGTGGGCGTGACCTTTGGCCCCAGTATCGATCAGTTCTCCCATGTAAGCAGGTATATTATTAGTGATTTACTGTCGAGATAGTTTTTATGTACAGAGGTTGGTGATATAAATCATCAACCCTTCTGCATCGGTACACCTGCATCTTTCCTCCCAGACTTAGTAGAAACAACAATATAACCAGTTATCTGGTTGTTACGTTGCTACACAATTAGTTATACGAGAAACAATTTGAGAAGCTCTTCCAGCAGGTGACCTAATCAGTGGATTATTTTGAGTACGTTGTTAGCACTGTGTTGCACCACAACAACCATTGCTAAAATAAGCCCGTCTCCAAAATAAAAAAAGTAACAAAGACCGGAATGTCTTCCCGGTGTACGTGTGTTGCACGTTACAGCGTGAATGTTGAGAATAAAATACACATATATACTTTACACATTTTTGTTTGTTTTAAACTTTTAGGTTTTCGGGAACTAAAATCAAGACAGAGGTGAGTCATGTTTTTTTTTCACAACCGAATAACACACAATCACCGTCACCATTACCGCGAGCACCCGAGCCGGCATTACTGCCGCCAAAACCATCGCCACCACTCCGGACTACTACTACTATTACTACTACCACCACCATCTACACTAAATCGCCGGCAGTAGTAAAATTGTTAGAAAGGATTAGTTCATTTTAACCTGTCAGTTTATACTGTAGTAAAAACATTTAACTCACTATTTGAGCACTGTGAACTGATTTCCCGCCATATGTGGCACTATTTCATGATTTGTACCGAGGAGTGGCTGTAAATGTATAAATTACCCCTTTGTAATGCCAGTGCCGTGTGTTGGCGATACACATGGGCATACTAGTAACACCACCCGCATTTCTGCTTACACCAGGGAACGTACTAACTGGACCGTGCATCGCTAGATTCAGATTTGCGCCACCGCGGGTACGTTGTTATACATTTACACCAGGCCTCCACATTCGACTATTTAGTGAGTCTATATCTGCGATAATGTAAAGTGGCTTTACATACTTCTAGAACTCCGACAACCGGTTGGTTGCCAGGATAAATGGATAGAAGCACCCGTTCGAACCGATCACCACAGTAACCTTCGGCGAAATCCCAGCGTGGCGGGATAGAGGTCCTTCGAACTGTCTTGGCCAACAAGTTCTTCGTTCCCTACATTTTATAACCGATTTATTTATAAATCAATAAATAATAACGTCAACATCCTGTAAAGCAGGGAAAATATCGTAATCTCAGTCGAGTCCATTTCTGATCCGATTCAGAGGCGCATTATTTGTATTTTAATTATGAAAAAAAAATACGAGATTGCATTTGAAAAAAAAAATAATTGGTAACCCCGTTAACATAAATTAAAGAGGAGATTTAGTTAAGCGTTGATTGTCGCTTCAGACAGCTTTAAAACTATGATCTATTGCGCACTCTATCGCTATTCTGACCCAGAAAAACTTGATAAGAGCCTCGAGCTTTGATCGCCAAGCAACTGTAATATCCAATCGATAGGTGAGATGGGGTCAGATAGCGATAAACGACAAGCCTGTTGCGTTCCTGTCACGCTATGTTACCGATAACCCTTAGAGGGGTAATCTGGCCGATAATCAGTAGGCTTGGTAGCTAATCGCACCCGGGTTGTATCACTTGAACGAAATAAATCACAGAAACAAAGTATCATTAATTGCGATGGATTTGTCAAATTGGGTCTGTATGTGGCGACAAGAAAATAATCAATAACAACATAATGGTTTCAATTCGACGCTGCAATAAATCATTTGGCAGCGGTTGCCTTCACTTCGCACCTTGATCAAATGTCCTCGTAATGATGGTCTGTCGATGTCGCCATGTGGCTTTGTATGAACGACGACCAAAGTATTCGGTTTACTAGAAGAATGGCGTAATTTGTCAAAACATTTATTGAGTTAAATGCAAAGGTGAATGAAGTTAACGTGGTCAAACCATTTGCATATGTACAACTATTTCAAATATTATCGAATTCGCAGTTCCGTACACAACCTATATATAACGTACAGGACCAGTGTAAATACTGGTATAGGACATTAGTAGTAAATGAAATGAAGAATTAATATGGCGATAAACGCTAATATATGACGCGACTTTATAATTAATCGCCTACGCCATGTCTTTAAACACGCTACACTCCACTACTCATACTGATATTCCACGGCGTGGTGCCATCTATAGTCGCCAGGCAACCGTGCGAAATGGAACGCATCCGGTTGCTATGGTTGTGAAAACGGAGGTGTTTCGTATTATGTTCGTTACCGGGCAGCCTTTACAAATACACCAAACACATTTTTTTTTTACACATTTGATGTATTGAACATTCATTTAGTGTGATTATTATGCGAGGATGATTTACCCCACATTTTCACGTTAGAAATAGAATCTAATACAACAATATTTATTTTAAGGGCACAAGTCGAAAGTATTCCTTGAGCTCGAAGACTGGCACATTGCTTCCTGAGTTTCCAGATGCAAACAATTTAAAACTTCCAGATAGTGTCTCGTGTGAAAAGGTATTTTGTATGCATGGCTCTTACATGTCTCACATCCGGGTACTTTGAGGGATATAAATGACACTTTTTCATGAAATGAAAATGCTTGCAATTGTCATTGAAATTCGAGTAGAGTTGAATTTGGCAAAATAAAGTGTGGTATATTGACAATTGCTGTCATTTTAATACTCAGAAAGTGACAGAATGTGTGATCTCTAAGAACAACGGTGCCACCTAAAATCTCAAATCCTCGATTAATTTTAACGTTGCTTCGAGTACCATCTAATCGTCAAACGATATTCACTATATATTATTATTTTATTTGTGAAAATTCTTGTTTTAGTTAATTTCTACATTTTTATTAATTTTATTTATCACACCTCAGGCTGAAACTTTCATAATGATGTACCGAACACATTGTCAGAGAATACTGGATACTATCATCAACGCTAATTTTGACGAGGTAAAAAATAAATGTGATACTTCAACATACCTTCCTGTAAATTACCCCCTCTAGCGAAGCTGATGGGTAAAGGAAATGTCGTTAATATCGACAACTGTGTTTGGTAGTGTATTCGTTCGCCATCTAGAATTTATCAAAATTTCGTAAAATCAATCTTCGTTGATGAAGACTGTAGATAAAAATGATTTGTGTCACTCATTTACATCATAGAACGCTTCGTCGCTAGGGGCGCAATTTATTTGTGCGACATGACTGGGCGGAAATCATTTTCACGTGTGTCGTCTTAACCGCACTTCATGAAACCGTGCATTATACCAAATAATATCATGCCATTTTTGTTTTACACAGGTCCAGAATTTTCTTCTCCACTTTTGGCAAGGCATGCCTGATCATTTAACGTCGTTACTGTCGTGTGACGTCATCGTTGACATAGTTGGTCTATGCGATACAATACTTTATAAAGTAAGTGTAGAAGTTCCGTCACGTGATAAACATTCGCGCTATCTACAGGTGACATGTTTTGAAAGCAGGTCGTCATTATATAACTTGTATTGTCTTTCTGGTCTAATTATTATACATCTCGCGATTTTATTTATTTTATATTGTGTAAGTTCGTCTATTCTATCTAAAGAGATAATGTGGATAACTTTGAGTTTTTTTGAGCATCTTGAAATAATTTTGTAAAAAAGATAGCAGTACACTTTTTCAATTACAATTACGTATAAGATAAATCGGGGACGCATGTGAAATAAATGCTTTAGTTGTTCGATACTCCAGGTTGTAAACCAAATCGGATTATGATTTATCATAAACTAACACAAAATACTTTTGCAGGACACAGTATTCATGAGATGCATAATTAAAACCACTAATACGTATTGTGTAGTTAGTGTTTTCCAGTCGAACGCACCAACACCAGTGAGAATCAGATAATGTGTGCCACTGAACAGCTTTTAGGATAAACCGCAGTCCAATGCATTTATCAATACACAGTATCAAACAAATATTCTGAAAATTAAAAATTTTCGTCCATCTTAGAATATGCAATCTTGAAAAAAAAAAGCATTTGTGTATGCACACAAATATTTGTTGAGTTATGATTATTACAGCTTGTATGTGTTTAATGACAAATATATATACATGTTACGTTGCAATCACATCTCATGTGTAATAACAATCAATCAAGATAGTAATCTAACAACCAATCTTCCGTACTTTTATTTGATCCAGGTGATGGTGGATGTTTTGATACCGTCAACTATCCAAGACCTGCCAGATACGTGAGTACATTTTATTTTGTTTCATGGTAACACTTGTATTTTTGATTTTCACCCAGATGCATCTTTAATTGTGATTTCTTTCTCGGGGAACGTCCATATTTTGGCGATTTTTTTAATACACAATTATCATAAGTGCGTTGCATTGCAATGAGATATTGTGCTAGTAATACACTTCAACATCAAGCTCAATATATATTTTTTTCACAGTTTGAGTGCTGAAATTAAGGTATTTGCTAAACGGATACCGGAATGGCTATCCAGCTCATTGGAAGAAGCGCCAAAGAGACTATCAGATAAGAAAATGGCAGGCAAGTACAACTCCAAAGTTCCTATCAGTGATGCTATGTATTGCGCCCTCCGCGGGAAATAACAAATTAAAACATGGCCACAGAGGGCGCAACATACAACAGCTTACTTATCCAATTGTTTTTACCGAGCCATACATTCACTTAATATTAACACTAGTTAATATTGTTATTATTATTATTTACAGTTGTCAAGACGTTTATTCAGAGCTTAAAACGACAAACATCATTCGTACACCTGGCGCAGGTAAGAACTGGCTGTCAATCAATCAATAAAAATACATTTACACGAATCTTAGCATAGAATGTATGCTAATAATATAGTTTGTTTTATAACATTATACAAATATTTCTAACCACTGTAGACCGCCCGTAGTGTGTTGCTCAGCCATGAAAATGTCAATCAAATGGCCAAAGATTTAAACGAAGTTGACTTCAGAAGTATTTGGACGCAAGGAGTGATATGTTCACCGGAACTTTTTAATAATGATTCACAAAATGCAAGAGAGTGTAAGTGATTCGATGTTCTCACGTGGGCCATTCCGTCCAATCGCATGACATTTTTACCGGCTCCCAACCTTAAAGGTGTACTCGAAGTTTGGTGGCGCAAAATGGTTGGGTTTACACCAATGTCACACGATTTGATGGTTTACACGATTATTCTCATTTCAAGATGCGCGTTTGAAACAAGAATGTGTTTTAGTGTAGCCCATATATGTGCTAATAAAATACGTTTCATTTAATTCGTAGTCATAAACGAGTTTGAAAGTTTATTGAACAAACAAGCACCACTAGAGGCGTATACAGAATGGATTGACAGCCTTATTGATCGATGTGTTTTGGAGGTAATTACGCCATTCATTTATATATCAACGAAGTCGACACAGTTATACGACAATACATATATATGTATATATTTATCTTGCATTTCAGTTAATTTTGACAGTGATACACTCATATAACTTTGTTAAACGTGGATTATACTTCATTAATTTATAGACAACCAAAGAGAATGCCAAGCCTTTCAGGGAACGGGCCCGCCAGTTTCTGCTGCATTGGTCGTTTTTTACGTCTCGTGTAATGCGGGATCTCACCTTGCGAAGTGCCCCGAGTTTTGGTAAGTTAACATTAAAAAGCTCAACTGCTATTAAACCAAGAGTCACAATCGCTCACAAAGTCGACCCTACCACAATTGTAATATATTGCTGTTAAAAACGGAATCGACGTTTACGAACAGAATGCATTAAGTCTGAACAGTGCATTTTCGGAAAGACAGCCACGTTGAATTCAATGAAAAAAATATTATTTCATTTAAATTATTTGTTTTGAAAATTCAGAACAGTAAGATGATTCATCGTTGACGAATGTCACCAACCACGAGATTTTTAGGACAGAATGAAATTCTTTCATCACAAATACCAATGCAAAAAACAAAGATTACAGCGGCAATAACAAATGCGCATGCGCCCGGATTTGGCGATACGTACGAGTTATTTATATTACGACAATGTTGTCTTTGATATATGATACTCCAGATATTTGCATGAATTCTTGTAAGGAAACGTATGTAATGTGACACCAACTAGTGCGGGTCAGGGTAGGATCCAGTTCAATTCAATATAATTCAGTTCAATTAATTTATTGAAGAGTAGTGAGCAGTAAAGACCAGTACGCCAGTTCAATAACGTCCGCCATGTTGCGTTCTTTACAGGTTCATTCCATCTGATTCACATGATGTTCGATGAGTACGTATTTCTAGTGATGGAGACTCAGCAAAACCAATTCGATGAAACCAGCATGCAGAAAAATGTCAAGAAATACATGAAGACTGCGGGTAGGATGGACATTACATAATATAGGTTGCCTCACCTACACAAACCATGTGCTGCGCTTGTTTGCCCAACATCATTTTTTAGTTTTAATCCGATACATCATCAGAGTTCGATTTGAAACTAAAATGTTTTTTAATTTCTCAGGTGAAATTAATACGAAGGCTAAAGTGAGATCAGCGCCCTCGAAAGGTGACAGTGGCGGTAGTAAGGCAAAGAAGAGGCGTCTGGATAGCGAGAATGCTGGTAAGTTGTGTCACCTTGTCATGTAGGTCGTCTTGTCCCGTAACTCATCCTGATATTCGGACTTTTTAACAGTCATAAGAAACCTACAGACTAATGTAAACGAGTCATGGGCGGGTTAGCATCGACTTATGCAGGGAAACCTACAAGGTTTATATTGCTGGTTCAAGGGAAATATCTGATGCGGTTTCCAGACCGCTTTGTTCACTACAGCACACTTGTTGCACACTGTACCACCAGTTTGTGTATGGTGCCCTCAACGATATGTATTAGTACATGCTACGTATTAATGTCATATAAATGCAGCAGAAAACGGACAGGAATCTAACCCAGAGAAGAATGACACCTTTTATATTCAGGCATTGCTAGCCTCTTTATAATGACACCTTTTATATTCAGGCATTGCTAGCCTCTTTATAATGAAACCTTTTATATTCAGGCATTGCTAGCCTCTTTATAATGATACCTTTTATATTCAGGCATTGCTAGCCTCTTTATAATGACACCTTTTATATTCAGGCATTAGCTAGCCTCTTTATAATGACACCTTTTATATTCAGGCATTGCTAGCCTCTTTATAATGACACCTTTTATATTCAGGCATTGCTAGCCTCTTTATAATGACACCTTTTATATTCAGGCATTGCTAGCCTCTTTATAATGACAGGGGCATAAAAAGAACATTAAATTATTCTAACATTAATTTTACAATTTTGACAATAACTTTTGTTTTTAAACTACTTTTGTTTTTATAGTGTTATATAGTGAGCTGGTTTACTATCTCTATAGTTATAATGTAATTTGTACGTGCCGCCATGATTGCCTGTAATATGCTTTAGTTGTATTTGAACAGATTAAGCCAGCGTCACCATAATAAATAATTATTGTCTTTTCGCAGAAGATGGAGACCAATCAATAATACCATCGCCATTACTAGGCTCATCAATAAAATCAAAAGACTTCCTGGAAATATCGTGCAGCAACAACACGGCATTTACTCGTCCACAACCACATAGTGCTACTTACGGCAGTGATTTTCATACTGACATTAACTACCCCGATTTCACGACCCCTTCTGGCTACCACCATGCATTAACGGGGTCAACACAAGGTTATTTTAATTCACCCTTAAAACACTATTCTCCTGTAACGGGTCTCAATGGATGTTCTACATATGATCGGACCACCACCGCTGCTTATATCTCACACATGAACTCGACGGCAAGTTACTCAGATCCTTTCAGAAACTCGTATAACTCACCACTGGAATCGAGCCAATTAGTACCGACAACGGTACACTACAACACCGGAATCAACATTCCACCAAGCCCGTCGTTTCACTCACAGTCCAGTTTCTGGGCGGACAATCGAATTTCGTCGTGCATGGGTTACAATGACAGTTACGGTAGCTACCAAGGGGGGTCCATCGGTATGGGCGGAAGTTACGGAATGAACTCAGGATTCGGTAAAAGAAATGGCGTATTCCCCTCAAGTCCATTGCCAACACCCGGACACAATTCATTCGATGACTCCACGGGTAGGTCAGCATTTGAAGCCACACGAACAATCATTATTATACAAGACCCATGACAGCTTACCAGGCAAGTGATTGGATCATTCCCATATATGGGTATGCCGCCAAAACTATACAACTTATTTTTTTACCGATTTTTATAATTCTTATGTAAAACCCGACAAGACGACCGATAGACGGCTAGTCGATACACCTTTTGTGTGCGCCCTCTAGTGACGATTCGCTATTGTGACGTAAATAAGTGACCAGTACTACTAGTATTCACGACATCACCTATTATTTTAACTAAGATTGTTCGCCAATGAAGCACAGGTTTTTGAGAGATTTACAATATTCCAAGTGACGAGCGATTACACAATGAAATACGTTTTTCGATTTGAGCGACATTGCTTACCCCATTTACGTCCCAGATTTTGTTTGCAATTAATCGAAACTGTCTTTCTTTCCTTCGTAATAGGTGGCGGTGGTTTCCATCATGTTGGTGGCAATAACATGCATCACATGACCGGATATGGTGGTACATTCATGGAAGTGACATCGCCGCAGAGTCAGTATACAAGACAGGATGCGTTGCCAGTACTACATCACCAAGACGATATGTTTTCGGGAAGCATGAGAAGCAACATTCTACCGTCCGTCAACAAAGCCTTTTTGGGTTCTTACCGATGAGGGCGGTGTTGAATGTTAATACGCAAAACTGTACGATTGCAAGCATTATAATGTCATAAGAGATCTCGGCACAATCGTTGACAAACGGTTCACAATATATTGGTTATGGCTTTAATGAAGTTTATAAGTTTGTTTTTGTGTACTTTAACTGGCAAACAACGCGGTGTTTTATGTTATGAGGTTGTGTATGAAAAGGGCAGTGTGTGAGCTTATTTTGTTACCCATATAAACCACAGTTTTTTTTTCATGCATAACGGGCATTTTTGAATCACTACACTTTCCGAACCAAACAAACCAAATTTTACAAAAAAAAAACACTTTTTTCTTGCACCTATACGCAGTGTTGAAATATAGTTTGAATTCTCGCCAACTCTAGGTTGAACGTTATCCATTTCTGTGATAGTTTTGTTTTTATTTATCTCCGATTTGTTAGCAATATTTTGTGCAGGAATGGTCGGGTATTGATTGCCACGTATCAGCGACCAAGCTCAATTCAAAGCGGTGATTCGCGGTTCAGTTCATTATACGGGTCATTTAGTGTAGCTTTTATGAGTTATGTAGATGTATTGTTTTGATATCCATTCATTTCATATTGTTGTCGTCACAGCATTGTGTCCGGGAACAAACTCAGTCTTCTTCAATTAAGTGAGTGACGCCTACAAGTAAACGTCAACGTCACTGAAGTTATGCTTACATGTATGGCAATACGTTTAATAAGTATTTATTGTTTGCAAACAACTGAAATCCGTGATCTGAAGGAAATGGATGTATATATTGTAATTTATGGCAAAATCTATAAAGAAACATTTAAAAATATATTTTAGCTACGAGTGGCGTTTTTACACGATATTTGAAAGTCATCAAATCAAGTATCGTGGGAATGATTCTACACTGACTTACTCACAATGGTTGGGTTTTGAGAACACTTGTGACTGTCAGAGTGAATACACAGATATGGGGCGTATCGTTCGAATGACTCTACACTGACTTACTCACAATGGTCTGGGTTATGAGAACACTTGTGACTATCAGAGTGAATACACAGATATGGGGCGTATCGTTGGAATGACTCTACACTGACTTACTCGCAATGGTATGGGTTTTAAGAACACTTGTGACTGTCAGAGTGAATGCACAGATATGTGCGTATCGTTGGAATGACTCTACACTGACTTACTCGCAATGGTCTGGGTTTTAAGAACTCGTGTGACTATCATAGTGAATACACAGATACGGGGCATATCGTTGGAATGACTCTACACTGACTTACTCACAATGGTATGGGTTTTAAGAACACTTGTGACTATCAGAGTGAATGCACAGATATGGGGCGTATCGTTCGAATGACTCTACACTGACTTACTCACAATGGTATGGGTTTTAAGAACACCTGTGACTATCAGAGTGAATGCACAGACATGGGCGTATAGTTCGAATGACTCTACACTGACTTACTCGCAATGGTCTGGGTTTTGAGAACTCGTGTGACTCTCATAGTGAATGCACAGATATGGGGCGTATCGTTGGAATGACTCTACACTGACTTACTCGCAATGGTATGGGTTTTAAGAACTCGTGTGACTGTCAGAGTGAATGCACAGATATGGGGCGTATCGTTGGAATGACTCTACACTGACTTACTCGCAATGGTATGGGTTTTAAGAACACTTGTGACTATCAGAGTGAATGCACAGATATGGGGGTATCGTTCGAATGACAAGCTGTTCTGGTTGAATAACAAATCAAATGTTACGTCTTTGAAACTCTGGATAATGACGAGGTTTGTAGAGAACATAATTTTCTACAACTATACATAATAGTTTGAATAGCTTGCGACACACTGATACAATATGTGATAGAACGTTTTTTAAAATATGAAACGGTGTTTCTTCAAACTGCCATAATGCGCAGCCTCGCCAGAGTATATATGTATATAGAGAGGGTTAGATACCCTGTCATGCGCACAACGCAAAATGAAACTTTTGAAAATTCAGATTGTGTATTACAATTATGACGGTAGTCAGTATTTAGCTCCAGGTACTCAACTTGACATTGTATGGTTGTGTTTGATTGCTGTATATCATATGTCAAAATGATACGAAGCTGTACCCCACTCCTCGTCCGAACAAGATCACATGAGTTGCGCCCTCTACAACTATTATGTGTACTTGTCATCGATTAAATCAGACCACTTTACCACGCGAATTTGAAATTTTAAGCTCGTTTTCGATAGAATATCCACGTTTAGTGAACAAGCTCTACGAAGAACCACACGTACGTTTCGGATGAGTACTCTTTGTGACTGTGAAAACATTCAGAATCGAGAATCGTCATTTATCGTTTTCACTGTTGTCATGAGAGTAAGCTTGGGTCCCGGTAGAAAAGTAACACAAATTCTAACCCCTAAGTCACTATTTTAAAATACATTATATTATAAAAAATACTACCAAATGAATTTTTAGTATACTACTGTGCGTACTTATGAAGGTTGTGTGCGATTTGGGGGCTTATTAGAGTAGTTTTTGTCGTTTTGCTTTCGCGTCACTGTATCAGCCATTTTGTTCAAAGTCGTAACACTTTTTTTGTAGACGCCGTAGAAATTGTTGAAAATGTATTCACATTTTC